GATGACAACTTTCCTTTTGAAACAGCATACACAGTGCAAAAGCTTGGACTGCATTCTGAGATCTTTGAGGACAGGTTTTGTCCCCTAGAGATCAGTTAACAAGTACGTTACTGACTAGAGAGAAAGCATTGCGACTGGGAACTCAACAATATGGTAAATTCCTGGTGCTTTGGATTTTAACCTTATGATGACATTATATGACTATTTCATTAGACTAGTTCAAGATGTAATTTCCAAGTTCTGGGCAAGTTTTCCATGTCAGTTTCGTTATCCGTCCTCCTTCCTACAGTCAATTTCCATATAGAGATAATATCAAGAACCAACTAGATGGGTCCTTCTTTTCTCAAAAAGAGTTACTTTGATTTCCTTTCATAAGTGAGACAATATCATCAAGCTGATCAACATGTATAATTACTTTTAACAGTTCCGTGGATGATAATATTCTTCCCCAAAACTTTTTAAATAACAAAGTACTTATTAAGGACAATGGTCATAAATTGCAAAATAAAAAGTCGAAAAGAGACCAGAGCAGCACAGCGAGTTAAATTTCCCTGCCAATGGTTATGAAAATTGTGAATTAGGACAGAATTGTTTATTTTTCCCACAACAAGCCTATTTCTTGTTTATCAGACTAAAAACAAAGCAGCATTGGTACCGTGAGAACAGCCTACGAGATGAAGCACCTATTACAAGCTTGTTGATGCTACACTTAGCAACCTCCCCTGCTATTGCATTGACCACATCTTCTGATTCAACTAGTACAATATCTACTTGCACCTGCATTAGACATCATGAAAAAAATTTCACAAAATGTTAAGCTTCATTTCATTTTTTATCTAATAAAGAAAGTGATCAACCTTTTCTCGAGTACACATTTTTTTGTAAGGAAGAAGCTTTTCAGTCACTTGCCACTCCATCTCCTTTCTAAAAGCAGCTACTACATCATCTCGGACCTGATGAATAGGAATTAAGTTCCCCACTGGAGAAAATCAAACGGGGGAAAACAATGTCAAAATAGATAAATGCAGTAAATACTAATTCTTGAAGATCTAGAATAGATACCCTATATGTACCTCCTACGGGAGAAAGAAGAGCTATGGGTCTGTTTACGTATTTAAATTCCTGGCAATGAAAGACCGGCGGCGCAAGAAAGTAAAAACCATGTGTTCAATGAAGTTGTGCAGCACAAAGCACGAACCCACATTATATACATCATATTTAGAAATTAAATTAAGCATATCTGAGGACAGAACTTTGGTCAAACTGATTAACCCAAGCGACTTTGTTCTCTCTTGAACAGGGAGGTGACCAGGATTCAAAAGAATCATGGGAGCGTTCATTTCAGGAACATGGTATTTATTTAGCATACAAAATCAATTGGCTATAAAACAGAAAGCTATAGTTGAACTCATGAGATATAAAACAAATGAATTAATTTTCACTTTTACAAGTCAGGAACTACATATCCCGTTCATTATTCAGTCCACATATTTTACGAAAAATCTTCTAGAGGAATCTAAGGCTTAAAATTGGTGAGACAGCAAGACCAGAGATATTTGGCATGGCATGCCTTTCATGCTTTAAGTGCTACTCCATGGAGAAGTGCTGACTTACTAGGTGTTGGAACTGCAATTATCTTAGGGCGGACGTGTAGCAACTTGAAGGAAACCTCTCCCTCCGGAACAAAGTTATCCAATGCCCACCTCACAACGTATTTGCTCTTTTTACCTCCGTTGATAGCTACTGCAACCAGCGCTGATGTTGGCGGCAGCAATGGTTTTTGGTCTTCTGCTCGAGTTATATTCTCCTCCATACTCTTCAGCACTGAATTCTGAATAACCAATAAGAAGTGCTAAATCTGCTGAGTGTGATAAATCAATTAAAGCAAAGGGCGAGCTCAATACAGCAAAGATAAACTCTTCTAAAAGCAGCACGGGCTATAATGCTTTGGACACAATTCCTCCTGACCCAAGATAGCCAAAGCTTTAGATTTAGACATCTCAAATTTTCTTTTAGCACTCAAAGTCTGAAAACAGATTTTTAAGCTGGGAGATGAGTGTTTCTCAGAAGATCCTAATTTGCATGTGTTTGTACTTTCCTTTCCTGAGCTAGAAGCCATGTTCGATTAGTTTCTTGAAACAAATTATCAGAACAGCAGCAGAATTTAATTCACAAAAAAAAAAACACTACACTATAATTCCATGACAAACTCAGTAGTAGTTCTACGAAGAAGACTGCCAAAGCACGCCCAAAGCAAAACAAAACAAAACACAACTCAACTTAGTTCCCAACTTGCAGCAAACAAATTTTCGAAAGAACAGCTGAGAAGGAACAGACATGAAAAAGCATACCAGTTCTTCTTCACAACTTCAGCAAATTCACCAGTCTTCATAATTCTCTAGTAGAAGCTCTATGCCAAACTCTGAAACCATTGACCCGCCAAAACCAGAAGAGTAATGGGAACTTGGGAATGAGAAGCAGAAGAAGATAAATCAAACGTCAAATGCTGATGCTGGTTTTACCAACAACCATCCCATACCCCATCTCGATTCCCTTTGAAACTAACGTGAAACATTTGACAACCCCACAATTCGAAACGACGCCAACTTGGTTTGCTCTTGTACTATTTTTCTTTTATTAAATAGTGTGCGCGTAAGCTAACTGAAGTGGGTTCCACAGTTTGATTTGCCGACTTTGATTAGATTCATTTGTTTTATTTTCTTTTTGTTATTGAAAATTAGTTTTGTAATTTTGAAAGCCTGTTCCCGTAAAGTAGTTAATCGTGAGGGATAATTTCATAAACATCCCCTGAGATTTGCTTTAATATGACTTAGTGCCCCTATAGTTTTTAAAATCTCTCTTACCTCCCCTATCATATTGACTCTATCATGGATAATAAATTGATGATATTACCCTTCTAGAAATATTTAATTGATTAACTAAAATTTGCACCCAAAAAAAAAAGAATTTGAAAAGTAGAAAAAATCAGGACAACAATTAGTAAAACTACCATTTATAATTGTGATTTTTTTTTATCCTCTTGCTCTAAAAGGTAGAGAAAATTCTCACGCTACTATTACCTAACATATCAGAAGCACATTAAATGGACATTAGAAGCAAATCTAACTTATTTGGATCTCTTTCACTATTGAAATCCTGAGTAATTTTCTTGTTGTAATTAATAATATTATTGATTATTTATATTAAATGATATTGGTGAATTATAAGAGTGCCTTTTAATAGTAGAACTTGTTATGATTTGTTACAATATCTTCTACTAATTTGCTCTTCAAATTGTTCATTTTGTCATTAAACTTGTGTTTCTTATTCTATTGTCTTATTGTGCTTTTAAACTTAGAGTTAAAATATTACGATCAAGAGAAGGTAAGAGAGATTTTTTTTTAAACTATGAGGGTACTAAGTGATATTAAGACAAACTTCAGGGGAGGTTTGTGAAATTATCCCTAATCATAATTATCTTAGGTCAAAAGAGAAAAGTTGATCCTAGTACACTTATTGGGTTGCTATTTTGTTTCCTTAAAGTCCATCATAACCACCATGAATCTTTGTACCATGATTTTCCGAGATTATACTAATGATGAGTATCTTTCCACATGAATGATCTTAATACTAAATTTTCAATCTAAAATAACTCTGCTGTCTCTTAATCAACGAATCCCCTTTTCTGGAGGACATCATATAAATATTTATATTGTCATCAACAAAAGAAGCATAAACATAAATAAAAGTAATGAAAAATATTATTTGTATTTTATATTTTATTATTCACACTCCCATAATTTATTTTATCATATAATCTAATAAATAAAAAGTAACCGATTAGAATGATAATGAAAATGTGATTAACAAAAGTAGGAGCACAAATAACAATTTTCAAAGCAACATCAACCGCAGATAAATCTGATTTTAGAAATTTCTCTATATCATGATATGACTAATTTCAAGGATGCCTCAGTAAGGTTCCAAAAATTTATTGTCGGACTCTTATCAATCTCTTGTACCTATCATTCATTTATTGCTTGACTTGTACAAAGGAGACTTTGCAAAATGCTAACTTTTAGCGACGACTTTTGTTACTTAAGCCATTTACTTGTGCTGACATAATTTTTGCATTTGTGAAAAATCGCTTCCAAGTTTTTTTTTTTTTTTTTTTTTGGGGGGGGGGGGGGGTAAGTAATTGCCAGTGGATCAGCCCGTAACCGTGTTTGCTTTGGGATCATTGTGTGGCTCAGATATGTCCGTAACTTTGAGGAATCTTACGGACTGTCATCTAGGTTATATATATATATTCCTCTCTTTGTAAGATAGTTTTTTTTTTTTTTTTTGAAAAATACTTGAAAGATAGTTGGGGTATAATAATGTGAAAAGAACAACTTAAGATATAAGGTACGCAATTTCAATTCAGACGAGATCTGCTGTTCATTATAGTATCATCTGTCCATTTTCAGTTCTAATCAAGCATCAAAAGCCTGCAATAGCATATAGTGGCATATAGTGGCAGTAATTTCGTTTTCAAGGCTCTTTAAATTAAACGTGCACCTACAAACACCGTGAAGTAGTGCCCCCTGAAGTAATTCATCATCAAACATGAAAAGTAAATTCAGTTTCTTGGTGATCAAAGCAGCTCAGCTAAGCGCCAAGAAAAGAAAAAGGAAAAAACAAAGAAGAAGCTCAGCTTGCTCAAAAATCCCACGATGTTCCTGTCTCTGTCTGCCTCCATTAAATTGTACACGACGCAATGCCTTGGCAAATACTCCAGCCTGAGGTTAAATAGATGGTTATTGGCATTTTCAACTTAAAAACAAAGAAGTAATAATAAATAAATTGGATTAGTGGACTGCTAGCGGGAGCGGGGCAGGGAAGGTTGTCAACCCTGAACAGTATAACATTTTTTGAATGTTTTATGTAAATTTTTTATACATTTTTATAACAGAGGTATTATATTTTGTTATTGTTCATATGAATTTCATATATAATAATTATGTCTTTATTGATGAGTTTTATAAATAATTTACATAAAATTACATCTTGTTCAAAAAATATTACATCGTTCAGAACGGTTTTCATTGACAACTCAGTGTCCTTGGTCCAGTGCTAGCTCGTGACTCCCCCTTTGAAGTTAGAAATTTTTTTTTTTTTTTTTCAAACAAACGACTTTGAAGTTTGAAGATAGATGAGGCTGATAGAAATGGGCCCCCTGCCTAGCATGCAGAACAGCTGGTCAACCGTCAAAAGCGAGTTTATTAAGATTGACTTGGGATACTTCCTTTTTCAAGGGCTTCTGAATTTAATTAGGTTGATTTGGTCTTCGGCTGGTCTGGGCCCATTCTAGCCTTTCTCGTAAAGTTTAAGGGACCAAGACTTGGTCGCCTAGATTATGCGTCCATTTCTTGATCTTTGTTCTTTTTCTTATTCTTCTTTCTGCTGCTGCGTATCGTGCAGATAATGCTCCTCTTCAATTTTAAACCCTGAAAAAAAAAAATTTTGGCACTCCCTTTTCAACCTTTTCAGAACAACACAACAATTAGCCTACATTTTGCATTATATGGATGTGAAAATGTCACATTTAGAGCTCTAACAATTCTGGTATAAGGAGAATGACATGATAAAATAAAAAATACAAGGAAGTCTTGTTTATGGGTTTATGGCATCTTGATTCTTCCCCATGACTAAAACAGCTGCAAGATTGTCCGCCAGAATCGATTAGGCCCAAAAATAATAAGCTACCAATCCCCAAGATAAGCTGCAGCAACTGTCTCTCTCTCGCAGGCACGGCAAAACATGCTGCTCTTAATATCCTTTGATTACCATATATGGGGTTATCTGGCACCCAACCGGTGGCTTCTGCCACGAAATGCCACTCCGTCGGCTGTACTACCAGTGGGCTGCGCTGGGCCGTTTGGTCCCTCCTGTGCTGAGGAAGTGCTGCTGCTGCTGCCTGGTGGCCGTGCTGAGCCGCGACTAGGCCCTCCGAGCCTGTAGCTCCTGCCGCGAAACGCAACTCCGGCATCAGGGTCTTGCCTGACTGGAGCATTCATTTGGTATCCCTCACCCCAAAATGCAACTAGCTTGTGACTTGAAGCATAGTTAAAGAAACATTGCAGATAGTAATATGTATAGAGTTGTTTTAAGAAAAAGAGGAGTGAAAAAAAGAATAATGATTATAGAAAGGATACACCCAGAGGGGAGTCTTGAAGTAGTTCTTTCCAGTAGACAGAGGATAAAGCACCGTGCAGAAGTAATAAATATGGCCCGCAGCTATTCCCTGAATGCCAGGCATCCACGGATTTCCAAGGATGGTGTCTATGCCCAGCATCACCCACGGAAGATAGAATCCCTGCAACCCCCCCCAAAAATAAATAAAAAAAAAAATCCCCAAAACACAGAACAAAGTTAAGCATAATAAAGTAACACTAATGACCAATTACAGGGGAGAACTAGTTTGGGTAGTTTGCACATTCAGACAGAGATGAGTAGTTTGCAGGAGCGGCGAGCGCACCTTAATTTCCACGAGTCCTTGTATGTTGACCCGGGCATTTGGGTTTTCCCTGCTCCAGACGTAGACAATCATGAAAACCATGGCTGGTCCCTTAAACGGAGACCACAGCAATGGAATCGCTGCCATCACCTATTAATCGCTTGTTACAAAATGAATCATATCATCATATTTCCTCATCAAACAAAAAGCTGATTCTAATTGTGAGTCTTTTTGAGGAAAGGCAATCAGCACTGCCACAAAAAACTTACCAGCAGTGAGATTGCTCCAAATACGAACATCCACACGTAGTCTGCAGTCCTCTTGTCAAAAGCCCCCCTCTCCAATGAAACTCCGTAGTATAGTCTAATTCAGATTATTCATTGTCAGCAAATTCTTGAGGCCGAGAAAATGCGATAATTCCCTCGACCAAACAGCCGAGAAAATGGGCTAATTCTAGTTTTGCTGAGGTTGTAATTAGAGAGTCATTAGTACTGGTTACTCATTTCTGCTTACATTGTAAGGATACGAAATCCAAACGGCAAGGAAAATCCTCCAAGGAAAAAGAAGTTTGTGATAAGCCTCCACACCTGAGCTCAAGGAAACAGAGAGATATTTACGAAGTACCGCATTAATGAAGAAGAAAAAGAAGGATCAGATTGTTACATTTCTGAAAGACTAGGCCAGGGTTGTCCGAGCAAATGAAATGTTACCTGGAACCTTTTGAAAACATCTGAATAATAAAGTGCTATGTTGGAGACTTTGTAGAGTTCCATATGAAAAGCGACTGTGGTCATTAGACAGACCACGGTATAGGTCTTGGCCACCGGCGGCAAAGATCGGTAGTACCTTAAAAGGCGCACATTTTTGCAGAATATATTCAGATGTTGTTTATTGTTGTCAGTTGATAACGTCCCGAAAATGAAAACTACTATGAAAAAGGGTGGTTCATTGAGTCGACAACAAACACACTACTTAGAAGATTTCAAGCACGTAAAATCCCAAGATAGAAAAACAAAAAGTAACCATATATATATATATATGTATATATAGCGAAGATGCCAAGACATGATGTAGATGCTGCAGAGAATCTTCTGGGATTTTTGCTCAAGCTATATTCCTGGACAACTTACAGAAAATCAGGCCGATCACCAATCTAAAACTTTGGGCAACTTGCTTAAAAAAAACAACAAAATATAACTCTTTCAATGGCTGGTCAAAAGATCAAAGTAAAAGCCAAGAAAATAACACCTATAAAGTTAGCATGGTGATCATCTATGGAGCTAGAGTATTGCAGGAAGGGAACGGAAAAGAATGGAAGGGAAATAGGGAGCGCTTACTGCAATGGCGAAGACATGTTGTTGTTAGCTGCAGAAATGAAGTGGCTTCGTTGGATGCTAAGAATGTTGAGGCAAATGGTTGTCATACACAACACAAGTTGATGATAATGCCATTGGAAATGCCGAGGAAATTCTAAGTCGTCCCAAGTCTAGACAGCGGTTTACATGGGCAAAGACGGAGTCACGATTGGAGAGAGAACAAAATTAAAATAAGGACGAAATGGAGACAATCAGCATTGCCGTCGCTACCAATTACCAAAGCTTTTGGAACTAGGCTACCTACATTGTCCCTTTATTTTAAAATTTTTTTCCGTAGCAGGAGTGAGATGACATTTAAGAAGCAAGAAGGAGAAGCGAGTAGGAAAATTCGTATCCGGAACCTCTAATTTTTAAGTAACTCAATTTAGCTATCAGATCAAAACCTCCTTGATCAATCTACACTGCACCCTTAACACAATGCAAAGTTGAAAATCTCGATATATGAAACTTCTTGTCCTCGTGAGCATAACTCATCGTTCTTTGGTCGTACATATATAATAAACAAATCAAATGTTTGTCGCATCTCATTCCTATACTTCAATGTCTCATCAAACTTGCATAAGAAGTCCAGTCAAAATGTAGCATAAACAAGTTCTCGTAATACTTTAGAAGCTACCATGAAATGAGATGAAGGGCTGCCAGGAAATGAGACAAACCTGCTATGACAACTGTAACTGTTAGAGAACTTTGTATCGAGGTACTAAAACTACAACATCATTCCCAACCCCCCCACTTCGTGCGCAGCTGACATAGAATAGGGGCCAAGTGCGGTAACAATTGGCTTACAAGAGCAATGATTTCATAAATTATGAGTAGAAGCTTCACAAAACGGGGGAACAAAATTAGAACCCTTGAGGAAGCTATGCTACAAAATTTTACAAGAAGGTATTAATACATTGTAAGTTTGTAACTCATTACAAGTAATCAGGGCCAGTAGCAAATAAACTAACAAGGCCTCGATATACTTGAGCAGAAAGTTGATGCCCTTGTAAAATCTCACCGTCTACATTCCATACGCTCTCCTTCCCGAAAGAAGTGAACATGAAAGCAGTGGTCTGCATATCAGACGTGAAAAGGTCAGCACTGGAGTATGGTTTCTGTACCAGGAAAACATGAATACACAAGTTGAAGAAAAACCGTACTTTATGGTGCTCAACAAACCGAAAATTTAGGGGATTACCACCCTTCATTGCAAGCTGGGTCAGGTGACTGCAAATATCCCAAGTAAATGCGAGGATTAGTTTGGTCTATTCTCTGTTATAACGTATAAGTATGCCCATTTTCTGAATTCGACTTGCAATAAAGAGGAGGGTGCAGATGGTTACCGCAAGTAAAGTGCACGTGGGCAATCTTTGACCAATATAAGATGCAGGAAACCATCTGAAAGGTGTGCATCAGCAACCAGACCATCAGGTGCTCTTTCATTTCGGCAGGAAATCACAGCAGCACCTACACTCAGAAAACGCCCTTTGGACTTTTTCCATTTTGATTCTCCTTTGTACGGTCCTATGCTGGCAGATTTTGCTGATGATTGTATTGGCTTTTCATTACAAACGCTGCAATTCGCACGACAAGTCCCTTTTGTAGATGGATCAGATAGGCCCATCAGTGCTTTCATCTTACGAGACCAAGGACCTCTTTCAGGACGAACACTGGCTTTTTCTGATTCCACTTGTACATATGCCACTTCTGCCTCATAGGACCTGAAAGGGTAGCATTAAGAGAAAATTTTGTCAAATTGATTTTTTTGATGTATTGTATTAGTTTATGCTTCATCAGCACAACGTAAAATCTCTTAATAGATGAAAGGGCTTACATTTGGAAATTCTGGATGAAAGGGCTAGATGAGGATAACATAATGCCATTCAAGGCCTCAATATTTGGTTGACAGAGATTCAGAAAGAGGGCATATAAAATATGTTTTTGTGTGTGTGTCAGAGAGAGAGCCCAATATCTTGTCATCAAAATGCCAGATTCAATTCAATAACCAAACATACATAGGCATCTGCTTGGGGAAGGCGGCCTACTAAGACATACCTGTGTTGAAGAAACACCTTTGTACCAGCATAATCGTACCGCTTTGGACCCATCCAACGGTATTTCTCGCTCTCCATAATTACATCGCCATAAAAACCATATCTATACAAAATCAATATAACCAAGAACAAATTAAAGTACATCAAAGGGGTGAATGAATGTGCAAGAAAAGCTTTTAATAGAAAACCTAAAGCAGAAATGGAAGAAAATAAATCCCATCCAACAGAATAAACATGTATGACAAATGAAGCAAGTCCCAATGCTAAATCCCTAGAACGAGGAAGCTGAGAATCAGGTATTTAAGCAAGGTAAAGAAAAATTTACCCAGCAAAATTGGCTGCATAGCGTACATAAGGTTCATCCTTTGATGTAGATGTTGTTTTCCATCTCACCACTTGAGCTACATCAAGGCATAACCTTTTACCAAGGACAATTTGCAATGCAGACATCACAGGATCTCGACCCCCAGTTGTACTGCAAAAAATTAAAGTATTTCTTTTAATTTGACCAACTCAGGCATACCAGGAAAATGATATATAATACAGTCCTCTGATCATGTGTTCTTCAAATTCAATGCCATGTCAGTGTTGGAGAACATTAAATCTTGAATGGTAACCAATTTTAAGAGTGAAATACAGCATAATAAAGCACAGCAGCCATGCATTAAATTTACAGCAAAGATTAATACTCTAGTGAATCACTACTCTGATTTCACAGAAAGGGCCTGTTCTTGTTTGGTTCAGAAAAATTATTTTACCCTGTAGTTAGTGAGAAAAATGATTTTTATAAAAACTGTTTCAACTTGAAAGAGTATTGTTGTCATAAAGATTTTAAAATGCCTGTTCTCAAAAGCATCTTAATCACATCTTCCAAATTAAGCCTCTGCTTTTAGCTTAATTTTTTATCCATCTTTTATATTCTAAGAGAAAAAGTCAAAAGCAAGTGAAAGCACCCAAAGCAAACTTTTAGCTTAAAAAGCTACTATCCGTTGACGAGCAAATGAGAACAAGCCCAAACGTATTGCAGTTGTAAGTATGCTGATTTGATTAAGATGACAAGATCTTTCGATCTTTCTGACACGCTTTAGTCATGGTTAGAGAAGTTAATATCAAAGTATACCTTATCGAAAAGACACCAGAATAGTACAGGAATTTATGTCAAAAATCTTCATAGCTGTAAAAATTGGAGTTGGATAATGTAAAAGGAGGCAAGTTTGTAGTTTCTGTTCCTGATCGGAGGTTGGAGGAGGGCTGATACACTGAATGCTGAAAAGCATCACAGAAATTTGGTGCAGTCTATAAATAAACAGGTTCAGGTTGTGAGTTGATACCTAAAAACAAAAGACCATTTTCTATTTTTCTCTACACATTTTTCCGCTAGCTTCTGAAATTTGTTTCTCCCCCTTATATGCAATATGCAAGTAGTAAATCAGTATTTTCAATAATTAAAAAAAAAGGAAAAACAAATTAAGCCAGGTGTTCACTAACAAAATTAAAAAAAATCGAGGTGCTAACTAATATCCTCAGATAAACCATGGAGGAATGAAAGTCATCATCAAGATTCTCATTCATTTACTTGAAAAACTAATATTGGGATGGTTAATGCAGTTGAAATGAACAATCTTCCATCTACATCTAACATCTAATAGGACTTCAAGATTATGTCAGTCAGAGAAATTCTTAAGTTCATTAACAGATGAATGAGTTTTACACAAATTAATAATCTAACATTGTAACTGTCAAAGCAAGCCATTCAAAATCATTTATGGAACTAAACTTGGGAATACTGAAGTTCACAACTATGCCAAACCCTACATCTGAAGGACCAGAAATCTTAATGACAAAGCTGATGACTTCTCTGAGTTTTCACAATCTATATGAGGAGAGAGTAGCAAAGAGTAGCCATGGAAGTCTTGTACTAAGCATAGGATGATTTCAAGACATCGTCACACATAAATGAAATCAATTTCATGCGATTAACAAAACAAGGTAATAAGAGTGAAGAAGATAACAAAACATTAGTTAATACCAAATCACAGTGGCATCAGTGGATCCTGCTGGAATAATTCCAAATCTGAACCGCTCGTGGGGAAAAGAAAACTTGCTATCATGCTCTGCTTAAAGCACCGCAGACGCAATAGTCAAAAAGCATTACTAGCATAGCCTCCTGTCTGGAAAAAGTAGTATTCAAAATTCACATTTAATCAACTTGCTTAGGAATTTAACTAACCTGTGTGGCATAGATCAGCTTCAGATCCTGCAACTCCAGATATATTTATGATAAGAAACCTTGACAATTATAATTTTAGACATGAAGAAGACTTGTGAGGATTTGCTAATTATCAACATACGGAGATTTGAGACTTGCGTTCTACTATGTCCTATGTTCATCAGAAGAGGAGAATCATCTTCACAAGGATCGGAAGGTTCCTCTAAGTTTCCAACTGCCTCATGAACTGACAATTCGCAACCATTGTCAACATAATTTTCAAAATCCATGGACCGTGAGGGACATGGAACTTCATGCCTAGAAAGAAGAAGTCCGTTGAGGATCTCATTAAATAACCCATCACCACCCTGCAAATGCCCAAACCAGCAAGACAAAGAATCTTATGTTATATCTCGTTATTAGGTAATTCGAAGGCCTAAGGCCTACTTAAGGAATCTATTCTCACTGAACTGAAACTTGACAGCAAAATCCCAAAATCAAATATCCAAATCATGGAATACTTGAACCATCATTTAAAAACTTTAGCAAGAGGTAACTTAAAATCTACAGAATTAAACTAGCTTGATAATTTCAATATCTTTTCCTAAATAAAGGTTATCTCTCGCGGAAGTTCAACAGTGCATGAAAAGGAGAAAGTAAAAGTAAAAGTACTTACAACAGCTAGAACACCATCATATGAATCCAGCTCCCTGTTTGTAATCGAGGCTAGTACATCAAAAGCATGTCCAGCTCTCTCTGTCATAATGACCTGATGATATTTCAAACACAAATAGAAATAATCCAGAATCACAACAGTGGACAACAAAGCTGAGGTAACCGAACAGCTGCTTTCCACATTATTCATTACCTGATTGAATTGAAGATCTGCCAATAAGTGCATATAAAGCTACACTTTATCTTACATACAAATAAAGTCTGTT